ATATGTTACAGCGTATCTTTAGACAGTACACATGGTGTACCTTCTGAAATGGACTGCTTGTATTTGACCTTGGACAGTGTAGTCATTTATCTGCATATATATTGCCAGACAAATATTCAAACCAGTTCATAGAGAACCATGTAAACTGAGAAATGTAAGTATTTCGATGAACATTAAATGATTAACCGAATCAGATGCTTTATTGAAATCTGAATAAAAGTCAATGAAATTCCATTGTCTATAGAATTTAAGGGAAATAACGTGTAGCTAATAAAGTTAAAGTCTCCACTTGTGCAAAAATAAAGCCACATTGTTTAACACATTGACTGCCAAGGACAAAGACTGATGGTTTACTACTAGACCAAAACCTAAAGAGTAATAATTTTTAAAGTAATATTACAGAACATTATTTTATTGTACTTTCAAGATGCGTGCGAAATACAAATCAATATTTTGCAAAAAAATTTGAGGATGCCAGTGGGCACATGGTGTCATGGTTGAACTTGTTTCCTCATGACACTGTAGACACCAGCAGTCACATTTCAGTTATATCACAAAATGCATTGTATGTCAAATATAAATATGATAATAGAAAGAGAAATTACAAATTAAAGCAAAAAATAATCATGGGTACATGACACCGTATAGTGATGAGGATAGTAGAATTATGGGATAAAATAATTAGTCGAGGAATAACACAATTGGCAGAGAGACATTTGTTGCAGGTCTGACAAAATGTAACAACTTTCTTCACACTTTTCAAAGCTTCTCATGAATGATTTAACTCAGTCAGCTTTGCTGCTGTCTCTGCAGCAGTTGATCAGGAGGCCCCAGGATTTGAGTCCCAACAATGGCTGATTTTCAGCAACTGTCTGGAGAAGAATTCTAGTGCCTGGCTGCTCTGGTAGTTTTTCTGTGATTTCTCTGATCAATACATAGCAAATGCAGGAAGAGTACCCTAACATACTGGCCAGGGTCTGTGAGGAGTCTAGGTTTTCTTTTAATTGTCCTACCATCTCTTCTTACACGCACTACATTACCACATGTCGGGAACTTACATTGGGTCCCATCTGTAGGGGCAATTCTTCGCAAATTGTTGTGTAGATCTCACTATCCAACTGAGGACACTGTGTCACATCACTCGTGATAAACCATTCACCACACTGATGGGACTAATGACAATAGCAGTTGAAGTGCCTAGAAACAATCAAATATTCTGACCTAATGGTTTTTCAACAATCTTTAGAGAAACAATTCCTGGCACCTCTCATGCACTTTCTTATTTCTCTTCTATAACTGTCAGACAATGACATGGCCTATTTTCTGACATTTGATTGTGAAAAAATAAAATGAAATGTGATTTCCAGTGTATCTGAGGCAATAAAATTAAGAAATCACCTCTCTGAATCATTGAATTCAAAATCTGGTTCTTTGAAAATCCTTTATAACTCTTCCTCTTCTACAACTACCATTTTTTTAATTTCATGTTTTATTTATCATGTTTAATTTTACAAGATGTCTGTAAATGACTGTTCAAGATCCATTTAAAACAAAAACCAGATTATAATATAATTCAACATTCAACCATCGTACTCACTGTTACTGTATATAAATTAACAACAATGTGATGAATAGTGGATATTAAAAACAAGTAAATTATGAAAAAATAAAATATAAATGAAAGAATAAACAAAATTATACCTGATTTCGAGAATATCTGAGGAAATAAAATAAAGAAATGAGAATTAAAGCACAGATCCCCAAGAAACTAACAACAAGAATGCCAGAAAGAAGCAAGCCAAGAATCAACTGATAATATCCCATGAACTATCAAATCTACAAGCCCATGACATCCGTGTAGCAGGTTCATGTATAAGCAGGATGTGAGCAGAGGTTGTTACCAAGACACCACCGAAAGATATGTCCTTTTGAAGTAGAATTAAGCACGAGTCCTCCACTGGCCACTCAGGATCCTGTGAGTTACTATAGTGGCTGCAGTCGAATACAAGACAACCAATGTGTTAATTGAAATTAGGGTTACAATATTCTAGGTGTTAATTTAATTTAACAAAATACATTCAAATAATTTTGGATATGCACTCTTAGCAGAAATGGTAGATATGTTGTTTGTTTTCTCAGTAATGGATAGGGGTAAACTGTGATTTCCATCTGTTGGGTTGAGACCTAACTAGGAATTTTATGGAACTTCTTCTAAAAGAAATAAGATATTACAAAACTTGATAAGAATTTGTGGAATACTCCATTTTTATTATTATGAAGTATATTTTCCTGTTCAAAGATTTAATTTACTGTAAACTCAATAAATATGTTATGTGAAGGTTGACCCCAAAGATCAATAGGTAATAACTAATACGCATGAGAAAAGTACCAAATTAATTTTGAAGAACCTTAACATTAGATTCGCTATCTGTAAATATGTATTAGAATCATAATCTAGAATATTCAAGGGGTTCCTATGACTTCCCTTTTAATATTAATGAAGTTCCAAAAATGTTTTGGAATAATTATTATTTACTTACAGATAATGCTGAGTCCAATGAGAAACAATCACCTTTTCGTTATGTCAGTGTCGTGTCATTGTTAAAAATAAATTGCTGCGAGATCACCTTTTGGTTCTATTGCTAGGTAATATAAGATGAATAATGAAATAAATGTATTTCTGTTGAATAGGTAATATTTAAATTAACCTTTGAACAAAAGGTTTTTACATTTTTTACTCGAAAGACATTTTCAGAATTTTCTCCAAAACTGCTTTAAAATGTTTGCTTGCACTGAACAATGTATGCTAATAAAACTTTCTCAGGATCAATTTTCACTAAAACTTCTGAATTTTTAAAAATTGCAATAGCTTAAAAGTTTTCCAACCCTCCTCAACCAACTTTATAATCGGAAGTAATATTGTGTTTTCTAAATTAGTTGTTTTTTGTTTTTAACTAGAGCATAAATAATATGCAAAAAGCGTTGAAAATGTAAGCACTTTTCTTACAATTTTAGTGTTAGACAATTTAAAAAAAAATTGTAATAAAGTTTTTCTCAAAAATGGCACCAAATTTGAACATTAAACTTATTGTGCACTGAATCGTAAGGCAATTTTGATTTCATTATTTCATTTAAACTTTTGAATTTCAGAAAATTACACATGCAAGATTACATTTTTTTAATAAATATCTAATTTAGAGCATTTGTAAGCACAAATGCGTTTATAGATTTCAACAAAGTTTCTTAAAACCACAAAATTTTTCTTGTGAAAAATTGGCTCAAAATTCTGAAAGGATTTTATAACGTTCCTGAATTCAACTTTTTCATTAAAGCCACGGAGTCTAGACTTAGAGGACACGCGTTGAAACTGGCGAAAGAGAGGACAAGGACAGGACAACGTTCTCATTTTATTGTAAACCGAGTGGTAAATACATGGAATACACTTCCGCACTTTATATACAAAATATATGTATTGTATATTGTATTTGTAATTGTGATCTAATTATAACTGTATTACTCTACGAAAATTATTTATTATATAACTTTATTTTACACCGATGTAATGATATGTGTAAAACAGCTTGTTGCTGCCACCATTAATAAATTAATAATAATAATTAAAATTGTGTTACTTAAGCAGTGCTCAAATGACCCCAAAATAGCTCCAAATTTTCTACTGAAAATTTTTCATTTCCAAGGAACTTTTGGTCTTCTAAGATATTCCGAAAGCCTAATTTCAATTAAACAATTGGGTGGAAAAAAAATTGAGAAATTGTATGTGGTTTTGCAAAAAATATGATTTCTTTAAGGCAAATCTCTCAGGAAAGAAAATTAAACGTTTGTGTTAATTGAGATGATTGTAAATATTATATTCTGCAACGTCTGAGAAAATTGTACGTTAATGAGTATGGTTGAAAGATTTTCAAGCTAAATAATGTCCATTGATGTTTTTGTTTTGGCAACGAATTCTGTTGGATGGCGGAGGTAGATTTGGTGATTCCAACACATTATTGGCTAAGAAAGCATAAAAAAGGTTAATTTTTATTTATAAACATTATTATTATTATTATTATTATTATTATTATTATTATTATTATTATTATTGCTTTATTAATTTTTAGTAAGTGAGATTCTTATTTTTAATGTTCCAGTTACTAAAAGTACTGTAGGGTCATGCCAACTTGCGGCAGTGAGACTTGGAGACAGGTGTGATCAAGGTTGTGGACACTAAGGCTTTAGGTTCCTTGCTGCTGAAAGTGATATTTTGAGTTATATTGTGGGCTTGGGGGATATTCTAGTTCCTTGTGCATCATGTCTACCCCTGTCCAATGTTTCTGTGAACTTTCTGTTGAACTGGCTCCCTATATCCAGAAATCACTGAGATAGGCTTATGGGCTACCACATGAATATGTGTAGGGCTGTGATGGGCCTAAGGCCTACCTCAGTGTCATGTTTAGTTGAAATGAGGGGGCCCTTCACTAGAAATTCCAAGGAAGCTATAATTACTGTAGAAGACCCTAGAAGGTAATAGATGTTAGTTGGGAAAGTGGGGAAACCAAAAAGAAAGCCCCAATTTTTAAAAAGGGAAATAACTTTTATAAGAAATTGTACATACCAGTTTTGTAGCCCCATTGATTATGTTTACCATGCTGTTAATTAGAAATCTTGTTTTTTAACTGTTGTAGGGCAGTGACTTTTGGCCCTGCATTTTATATACTATGATCATCCTAGCTTTGATTGAGACTTCTTTCTTTAATGAGTTTTCCATTGTATGTGTTTCTGAAATTGAAATGTATTCACACCCACTCCATTTTGTACAAATGAAAAGATCCACAAAAGTAGCAGTATAAATAAATTAAATATTGTACTATACACACATTGAAGGATGTAAGTGAATTGAGGGGGGCATGTCTACTACATTTCAACAGATATTTTCTACCATTACCATTCTATCACTTTTTGATCAACGTTTGAGATAAGACCTTGACAGTGATGCTTAGCGTGACAAACTTTTGAGCTCTGTGCTTCTTGCAAAGCTGCAGCTGGAGGTGCGAGCTGATCATGCCAAAGAGCCTGCACCGATTTTACATATGGCACCTCTTCCAGGGGTGCGCATCACCCTTCCTACTTTCTGCCTCTCAGAGTACCTGACCAGTTCTTCTCTCTCTTTGGCTGCATATCGAGAAAGGCTGGCAAATAGAGAGGCTCTACCAACCCTTCCCCGCAGAACACTGTCGGCAGCAAGCCGGTCAAGAGGTCGGTCCAGGGTTGAACCACCAAAGGTAAATTTCCCTCCTTTGTCTATTGTACATTATTTGTGCTTATTATTGTTTGTCTTTTTAATCCTGTGGAAAAGAACATTAGGATATTTGATACTCAAAGGAAACAATTTCACTCCTGAAATATCAATATTTTATGTTTTCATAGAAAACGACTTTTATTATAAATCCTTAATCACTTCTCTGCTCATTATGATTATTAAAAGGATAGTGCCATCTTTTGCAAAAGAAAGAAAGAAAGAAAAAGAAAAAAAAAGTGTGAAATGTTGTCATCATGCAAGAATTTCTTTGTCACACTTTCCAGTCAGTCTTAAGAAAAGACTAACTTCATACTAACATGGCAGTATGCCAAATCCCTCACTTTTTATACAATCTCAGAAAAAAAGTTGTTTTTTTTTTAGCCTCTTGTGAGTAAGTGAAGAACAATGGATCAAAATGATATGAAAAATAATTAATGCTATTTTAATTGTAATGTACTAGTGAAAATCCAGTATTAATTCCATTTTTACTCAATTCTACAATTTGTATTCTCAAAGTCTTGATATATTTTCTTTTGAAAACCAACAAACATTAATTGATATTAATCTAATTAGGTTTTCTCTCTTAAAAGTACTATTTAAATGTAATACGAAAGAAAAAAGTTTAAAAATTTAGTACGAACTTGTATTACAATAATTGATGTACCACGATATGCCATCCATAGTTACGGATGTTCATTTTATATGAGAAATTTCCCTTGCTTATCTGTATAATGTGCTGCAAATAATGCAAAAAATTATATGCTGTTGGAGCACCTAGTTTTGAATCTTTAGCAAGTTCATTTCTATTGAAATTCTTTTTATTCACTTTTTGTCTTTCTGAAGCATCTTTCACTTATCTTTTATTCTGCCATTTTCTTATTTGCATTTCTTAATGATTGGAGGTTTATTCTTTTATAAACTACATGAATAATTCTGTTTGGTTGAAAGTTCATGTATAAAATTAAAAATGTACACCAAATTCTTTTTATATTGAATATGGTATATTTCTTTCCAGATGAGCATATCTCTTCCAGAGATATCAAACAAGAAGCCTTCTGTGTTGGGAAAGGATGTTGACACATTGGTGGCAGCAGCAGCAGCAGCTGTGGCAGCTTGTGAAGCGAAAGCAAAAGCCTCTGCTGCATTAACAGGGCAAACAATTAATGGAACCGGTGTCAAAGACAATAATGGTACTCTAGTGAGTAGTGGAACAGTACCTGTTACTGCAGCTGTGTTTGCCAGCTCTTCAGGTGTTGTTCCATTACTTGCAAATTCTATTTCGACTAGCAAAGTCTCTGTGACATCTGCATCAGCAGTTACTGAAGCAAGTGTTGGAATAACATCCAAAGCCACAAAAACAGCATCAGCAACTGTAACAAGTTCAGGAACTTCTGTATCCTCAATTTCATCAGTATCTGCAACAAATGGAATATCTCTTATTTCAGAAGCAAAATCGGGTATGTATTTATGTGTGTACTTGTGGTGCACGTATTATGAAACTGTCAAGGTGAAGATAATATCATTCAAAAGCAATCTACATTTTAAAAGAGCATTTCAAAACTCACCTAGTTACATTCCTTTGTTAGTTGATTGTTCTTTGCCTCTTCTTGTCATGAAAGTTTACCGTGTGTAATGTCCCCAAATGCTCTCTGGCATGATTCTTGCATGCAAAAGACCAGCAATAATTAGCCATCATATACTCGCTCCAGTGTCCTTGATAACATTTTGCCAAGTCCTGGTGAAATCTTTTATCTTGCTCCTTACTAAGAGTTCTTAAATTTGGAGGAAAGTAGTCTATATGTGTTGTTAAATTTACTTTTAAGATCATATTACAACTTAGCAATCTGAACTTGTCTAACGTATTTTGTACAGTCTCCTTGTGTCAGGGATCTTTTATGATTCCAAATATTTATTTATTCATTCATGTGATATTTCCTTTGATACAATAATACAGAATTTGTGTAGTTCACAAATTACTCAAAGTGTAGTAAAAAAGAAGAAAGAAAAAATAAGAATAAAAAATAATATTAGTAATTAATTAATTTCAAAACAAGAATAGCCATTAGCATTTAATGATTATAAATGAGGTTGTGTGCATTTTTTAAAAATAATGTAAGGAGATAAAAAATCAATATCTTTACAATATTTGTTTACAGAAGGAGATGTTAAAGATATCATTCATAAAGAATTCCATTTCTTATTGTTTGAAAGCACTCCACCTTTCTTCAGTTTTCATTGTTGCAGATATAAATTGTTATCCATCATTAGTTTATGGTCATTGAATATCCCTTCTTTGGTTTGAGTTTCTGTCAATGTTGGAAATGTACACAAATTCTTGAAGTGTGGACAATTATAGTCTCTCTTAATTCAAGTGCCTTGACAAACTGTTTCATAATGTAAAGTTGTATCAGAGGAAGTACAATTTTCTCATGATCAACTAGACTTTCATTAATGATAGTCTTAGATTGTGCAATCAGTTTCTATCAAAGAGTAGTATTCCAGTGTTTGTCTTTGCCCTGCTATCCCACTTACAAACAAAATAGGGAATTTTGTGTATCCTCCTTGTTGCTCTAACATTATTCCAATTACTTTCAACTTGCCTCATATTTGCCATTCATGTTCATGGAATTTTACTTTTCAAGCCGTACTTTTTAAATCTTGCATTTGACTCTGACAATTTTATGGAGCGAGCAAGTAGAGTGGAAGTGAATTTGTTGCCAATAAACTAAAATTACCTTCAAGCATCTCTTGGAAGAATCAATGATAAAGAGCTAGGAACAGAGTTAATAGTATTCCTCTCCTAGCTGATGAATTACATTATTAGCATCTCCACAAAATACGAATTTATACCATTTTCCTGTGTGTAGTACTTCTTAAAGCTTTTATCACAGTCCCTGTATCAAGAAAATTGTATGTCAGGTGCCATCAAGTGCTTTTCATGTAGTCTTGAACCAAGTAATTCACTCTCTTCCTTTGAGAGCCGCAGTTCTCTTATTGATACTTTCACTTCAGATTGAGTAAATGTTGGTGAATGGTCAGGTTCTTCTGGTTTCAAAGTTATGTCTGTTGTTTGGGCAGAGAACTTGGAGATTCAGCACCCAGTGGTGAAGGTACTAGTGATTCAAGTCCGTGAGAATCAGGCCATATGGTTAAAGGCAGATTTAGATATTTTATTCTTTTCCAGTTCTTTTTGTTGTTACCAGTAATGTTAGACTCCAGAAATAACAATCGTGTGGTTTGTTCACGCCATTTCTTTGGAATTGCAAACAGCATTCCCTTCTGTTTTCCTTTATTGCAGTCCTGCCCAACTGAAAAAAATGTGATCTGCAAACTCTTGATCTACTGCTTGCTTGCTTTACTTTGGAAAGATTGTACACAAGTGAATCTAGTTTAGGTTCCTTACCTTTATAAAACAAGCATCGACAGATATAACAAAATTTCTGTGGACTTGATTCACACTGTCTTCTGCTCAAACCCGGTGCTCTAGCTGTACTTACGAAACACAGTTTACTTTAATGCTTCCTCACTGATGCTTGTTTGCTGATCCACTGTTATTATATTTAGCAAGAGAACATGCGGTTTCTTAAACAGAAACTTCCAGAAGTTCAATAAACAAGCTGTAGGGTTAACCCTTATCTTCATATTTATGTCATTTCGCATTCAAGCCCCGAGGGGAAGCATAAGAAAACCCCGAAAAACCTTTGTAGACACGGAGCCTTTATCTTTGTGAGTAATTTATTTATTACTTTAAGACTCTGTGGAAATTCAGGTGTGATTGTGAGATGTTGGCTTTGCTTTTACATATTATCAATATGACAATTCATGTAAAACAGTATTGGGCAATAATGTGATGGACCCCATCATTATTTTCTGATTCAAGGCACAGATTTCCATAATTATTGCCTGTTTACTGCAGAATCATTATTGGCCAATATTATTTATCAGTTTCAAATAAGTCCAAATTTTTTTTCTTTATTTCACTTCAGCATTAGAAGACAATAGTGAAATTGATGCAACCGGAGGAAAGAAAGCAACTGAATCGACTGCTTTAGTAAGTGGGACAGAAGTGACTCGTGCAGAACCTCAAAAAGAAACGGCAACTGAAGTTAAAATCAAAGGAGAGTCGGGAGCAGTGTCAGAAGCTGAAGTAGAAGTTAAGGCTGATGCTGGGACTGAAGCCCATACAGACACAGTCTTGGAAGCCCCTGTTAGTACTGAGATTGATGTTAAAACAGATATCAAGGTTGAAATGAAAATGCGTGCTCAGGCACGAAGGGAGAAAGCTGCTGCTCGATTAGAAGTTGTGAGACAGGGGTGGAGTTTGGAAAATGCTTGTGCTGTCACCATTGGGGAATTGTATCTTATGGTGAGTCTTTCAAAAATAAGTAACAATATTCTTTTAGTGTTTTTGATAATTTTTCAGTGTTGTTATTAAATAAAAGTAATATCAACTGTGTTCTTCTAAAAGTCACACCAGCGCGTTAGATTTAATTAAAATTACAGTTGTGAAAAAGCAATCTTTATTGTGGTAGTTGTTTGTGATGGAGAAATTCAGTTTGTGATAGTAAATATATAAATGCAAGATATTTCTTACTTTTAGGACTTTCAAACTGGTTGTTCATAAATACAAAAAAAAGGATACTTTCCATGCTTATACCTCACTTGAGTTTAGCTGGAGTGTACATAATTTTCATGATTAAATACAATGGAATGTGTTGTCATGCGGAAAACATGTTAATCAAAAAATGCCAAATTTATTTTCACATTTCCTTCTTCACAACATGATTACAGGGAATAGAAACTAATTTGCACGTAAATAACAATCATAATAAACTAATTTTTTGGCAAAGTTTATCAGCAAAATAGAGCATTAGATTTTGGATAATATTTAATTTGGATAATCATCATCATTTAGATTAATCTTTTAACACACATTTATAGTTTTTGTAAGTGTATTAGTTGTGGATTTTGTACGTTTGTTTTAGTTTTTCCATACTTATGCACAAGTAACCTCTTGTGCAAGGTTTACTACTGTAAACTTTTGGTATTCAAATAAATAAATAATAACCAAATAAAGAGGAAACTATAAGCAAATAATACACAAACACCCAAAACATTGAAAATTAACAGAAAAAATAAAAACCTGTGTTGCTACAGAATACCTAGACTGATTTGTTTTCTATTCTCTGTGAGTCAGGGTTAGCTCTTTTAGTTAGTTTGTCTCACCCTCTTTCCAGCAGCTATCTAATAGCACCTAAAAATTCTACCTGGCCCTTTCATGGTTCTTACCCCTCCTCTGGGGACATTCCCAGAGTGGAGCACCTTCTTGCTCCCCAAATGATGCATAGGCCTTCTCTCGGTTCTGTACCATCACATATTTACCAATGGTATTCTTGGGCACCATCGGGCATTTGTACTATTGTTTTAGATGTATGGATCCAGCTCCCCAAGTAAAAACACTCATTTCACTCAGAGGTGTACAATAAGTGATTTGTAATAACACATCCCTCCCTCCCCCATGGGTTTCAAACCCATAGTCTTGATGATCATGTTAGCTACTCTCGAGCACCAAGTCTGCGTCTCACAAGAATGAATCACGTGACCATACTATTTGTAAATATTACATTTATATATCAATAATAATTTTGTGAAACTAATAATATAACTCAAACTGCCCTTTTTATCCATAACCTTTAATATGATTTGCAATATTGAATCTAAGTGACTCGATGACTTTGACCCGTTTGGATCAGTAACAGCAATGCAAACAGTTGTTTAGCATTAATATGTATCAACATCACACTCGGTAATGAACAGTTTTCTGAAGATTAATGAACTTTACTAAAAGAAGAATAGAACATAATATTTACAGGAAGTATCAATTAACAAAATTGTTTAGTTTATATTCATGTAATATTTGTATTGAGGAAATTGTGTTTTCTCAATAAACATGTGTTAAACAACAATTACATGTGTTAAACATTTTCTCAATTTCTTGGGTCGCCTAGTTCTAGAATTGAAATACAACTTTAAGAATATCTCTCTTTTCACCAGAAAACTTTTGAGATTTCAAGAAAATTGCTGTAATGTAAATAACATGATGTTTGAAAACAATTTATTTTGGAATAAAAAAACAACTAAATGTCATGGTGCATGTCATTTTATTCAGTGCGTTTAGCTCCATCAATACAAACAAATGAAGCCAAAAATTTGGAGCCATTTTTTAGATTGTGTAGAAAATTGCCCACATTTCAATTATAATTGCAAAATATCTGCTAATATTTAAAAAAATGTTCATAGTAATAATTAAAGAACTAATTGCAAAGAACCAATTTCATTTAAAGAAAAAATCTCATATTATCAATAATATTGTTTCATGAGGAGGTCCAACAAATTTGTAACTTTCCAATTTTTGGAAATTGAGTTGAGAGGGGAATATTCCATGGCTTTAGCTTTAACATTCACAGACAAATGTTCTGAAAAAACTTCTTCAAAGTCAGGGGCCCCAAGATGTGTAGTAAAACCCTATCATCTTCTATATATCGAAGTCAAAGAAATGTGTACAATACAGCTTAACCCAAAGGACGGAAATGGTGCAAGCACTGTAGAACATGATTCTCTGGTTCTGGGATCAGACTCAACAAAATATCCCAAGTGGTACCCTTACCAAAAACATGTGAATTGCTGAAGATGTTAACACAAAACTTGGCTCTATGTGAAGTGGGATTGTTAAAGGTGTAAATTAATAATTTAATGTAATTAGGACCAGGACTGAAAAATACACGAACATATAACAAGATTCCATTGAAGTATCCATTGACCTTTTTTCATTTCATTACAAATTTAATGTTCTTGATTGTACTAGCAGGTGTACTTGACATTTGTTATGCAATGTGATTAGTGCCTCTTTTTGTATGTATATTTTAGTTTGGACACGATGGCAGAGTGGAACTTGAGTACTGGTGGGAAGAGAAAGCTCCACCGGAACAAACAACACTAGTTGGGGAGAAAGGTGAAGTGAGCCCTGTTGCTTCGGCACTTCAGAAATTGGTGTCTATTACCAAATTGAACTACAGAAAATCAAAATTGCTTTGCCCTTGTGGGCATGTTTGTGGAGCTCCTACCAAAGCTAGTTCACGATCCAAGTCTGGTGGGAAGAATGCAAAGGAAACTCAAGATGTAAGTTCTTATACAATTTTTCTTGTTGATACCGTTTGGATTTTGATATCTCTGAGTGAATTTTCCTGTGAATATAGTTCTGTTAATAAGGAGAGGATAATATATTGAAGGACACATGCAGATTAAAGAATTGAGATAGATTCTTGGAATTGTCATAAAATTTAGTAAAAACAGTTATTGTAGCTTTTTAGGCAATCTCTAATTGTTAATTTAATCCAGGGATCAATTTTTAAGTACCTAATACTTGTGTTAGAAGTGAATGTGACCTCAGGTACTTATATGAAATTGTTTTTCTGTTTTTTTTAGTCAAATCTGATAAGTTGAATGGGTGACATGCTAACATTTCATATTGAATTATGGTGATAATAAATTTGCTTGTGTGCACGTTCACTCTCACACTCTCTCTCTCTCTCTCGCTCTCTCTCTCGCTCTCGCTCTCGCGCTCTCTCTCGCGCGCTCTCTCGCTCTCTCTCTCTCGCGCTCTCTCTCTCGCGCTCTCTCTCCCGCGCTCTCTCTCCCGCGCTCTCTCTCTCGCGCTCTCTCTCTCGCGCTCTCTCTCTCGCGCTCTCTCTCTCTCTCGCTCTCTCTCTCGCTCTCTCTCGCTCTCTCTCGCGCTCTCTCTCTCTCTCTCGCTCTCTCGCTCTCGCTCTCTCGCTCGCGCTCTCTCGCTCGCGCTCTCTCGCTCGCGCTCTCTCGCGCTCTCGCGCGCTCTCACTCCGCTCATATTCTACTTATAATATTTGATGGCGTGTTTGTGTCCAACTGTACATTAGTCATTTTTACACCTTTGGTCTAAAATGGTCATCATCTGATTTTGGGCTAATGATGGGAATCTCATCATTTTTATCCTCATTCTTCCAGAATATTCTAAAAATATCCCTAAAAAGTGTTTCTGTGGGTGTTTTAATCTAAAATGCATTTTGATGTAATGCAATGTATTTTTTGCAAGTGCATAAGTTTTAAGAAGTTAATAATAGCAGGTATGATTCCCCCAACAAGATGAATAATTTGCTGCTATTTTTAGCCAGATTATTGTATAAAACTTTTGAAAAGTCCTAGAAAAAGCCTGTTTTTGGAAGTTAGGAAAGTTTTATGATGCCTATAGTGATGAAGAGTGGAATTACTATAGTACTTTTCTGGTATAACATGTGAATCGATTGTGATTGAGAGGGTGAGAGTTATGTTATGTTTGATGAGTTAAATTTACTCCTTTCATGCAATAATGACAGACACACTAACAAAACTTATTGAGTAATGAAGTAATTGCAGTATAAATTTTAAGTTGCATGGAGTTGTTAGTTGTGAGAATGTCAATGATTCTGCAGAGATGATCAAATATAAATCAATTGTAACTGCAAACAATATTTGTAACTGAAAGATTTATTTAGACATGATGGTGTAATTTTAAAAACATACCCTATGTTGTTATAAGTTACCGCATATCCATTGATGTTCATTCTTAAGTCACCAACCATGTAACAAATGACATGTAAGTTTTTCTTTTGTTACAATTTTATCTGTGTCTGTAATGAAATGTCTGATATACATTAAACATTTATGTTGATTTTTCCCATTATATTTCTGTTTTATTGTAGAAGACTGCAAGTGGGAGTGGGTCAGGGAAAATTGCTCCAAAACCTCAGCCACTTCCACCGCCCCCGCCCCCACCACCGGCACCTCGCACAATTCCCCACCATATGATTCTTCCAACTGTGCAAGATGGAGTATTTCGGAGACCTCTTATTGCACCTTTGTACAGAACAACTCCACGAAGTAGCGATGTTGAAGCAATCAAAGCTCAATTGGAGGTAAGTTCTCTTCTAATTTGCTTAGACCAAAAAATAAACTATGCAACTGTAATCGGTTTTTGATCACTAAATTCAGAACTTTTTTTTTCTCTATTGCACCAAAACATTAATTTTACTTTTATTACTGTGAAACTATTAGTTTTATTTTTCAAATAAACTTTTTGATATGTGAATTCGGATAGTAAGAGTCATATTATCCAAAAAATTTAAGCACATAATTCTGGTTGCTTGGGAGGAAACTAATAATAATGTGAAAAAGAAAAACTAGCAAAAAGAGAGAACTATAAAATATTGTTGCAGAATAATCTTAGTGATTAAACATAACTGAATGATTTTTACATAAGTTGTGTATGCAAAAATTGCTTCCAGTATTTTGTAGTTTTTTTTTTTTTTTTTTATTATCATTAGTGCAATTAAATACAGGTTAACAGGTAAAGCATATTTAGCAAGGTTCATTGCAAAATTAAGCTACATGTTCACTTCCTGTATTCCAGTAATCAATAGTGACTGCTTTAGGTAAATCTCAATGTAATGTCATAAAGTCAGGATAAGAACGTCCTGAATGGAGAAAACATTTACGTTTAAAAAAATTAAAATTTTTTTACAGTTGAAGTTTTAGTGGATCACAATTAATTTATTGCTTGTATTGAGAAGTGCTCTAAATTTGAAATATTGATTGGTTATCATTTCAGAAATTCCGACCAAAGTATTGCAATCGTCGTGGACGCACTGTTCGCCAAAAAGGAGTTGTGGTTCAGCGAATGTTGCCTCTTTTGCCAAAGGCTCCAGATGGTCATACTATGTTGGCTTTGAAAGTGATTCCTCAAACTACTAGTAAAATGGCTGGTGAATTTATTCCTATCAGACCTCAACCAGATGGGTATTCACTGACGCATGCAGCAGCACCACCTATATCATCATTGCGTATTCGCCCTAAAGACAGTGGTGTTATTAGGAGGCAACAATCATATTTAGCTCCAAAACTCTTTACGTCAGCACCTGTCACAATTTCAACCACTGTACCAACAGTTGAGAGCAAACAAGAACAGCAGACACAAGAACAGATTACTGTGACAGTGTCATTAGCTCCAAGTGCAACAAGTTTGTCTCAGAGCATATCTGCACCCTTGATTCCTGTTGATCCACCTGCTGGGGAAATTGAGATGACTCTTACAAAAGAAGAGGAAATGCCCCTCTCACCTCCACCAATGTCTTCTCCACCCCCAAGTATCTCTCATTTACTTGATATGGATTTGGGATCAACAGCTGGGGATGACATTTCTTTGAGTGGTGTCAGCTGTGGGCTTTTAGATGCAGCACTAGTTACATCAAGTACTCCATCCTCTTCTCAGACTTTCAGTGGTAAGTACTTCATTTTTGATTTTTGCATGAAGAATGCATGAAGGGTATATCAGTGATGTTATAAGTGTAAAAGTGATTTAAACTATTCAGAAATGAATTGTTTCCAATAAAAATAGCTCATTTTCGCACACTTCCAAAGGTCCAAACTTAAAGAAATGTAACCTGTATTAATCAACAAATGAAAGTTGTTGGCTAGAAGTCAGAAGATATCTTTGAATTTCATAGAAAGTAGTTCTTTTAAGCTGGATACTTTTTCCCTCTTGGAAAGGTGTCCAATTTAGTGAGATAGTGTGGTAAGATAAGTGGGTTGTCCGTTTTAGAAATAATTTAGAAATATAGCTTCAAAGGCTTTCATGGTTCATGTTTTGTCTATGACTGGTGAGCATTCTCGGTGGCAGCAGGGTCTGGGGCGAAGTTTCTGGGGTGGCAGCTGGCAGGCAACTGATACATCACCTTACACGTTAGTCACTGATCACCGTCGATGTTCATCGCAGTCCTGGACAAAATGTTTGTCGATCAGTGCCTCCTGGATCGAGGCCATATCAGCCCGAAAACTATCATTGAAAAATTACAAATTATTAGAGAAGGCTTTTTATTATTTATTAAGCCTAAATAGGTTGATTTTAAAAATTAAAGTTTGGAATTATTATTACATTATTATTATTATTATTATTATTATTATTATTATTATTATTATTATTATTATTATTTATTATTATTATTATTTATTATTATTTATTATTATTTATTATTATTATTATTTATTATAAAGTTATGAAGAGGAGTGTATTTGTTGAAGCAAATTTCATTATTGTCTGTCTGTAGGCATGTAGTATAAATTTTATACTAATGAGATCTGTAAATAAATTGCATACTTCACTTTCATTTAGTTTTTCTTCTAGTATGCCACATTACAATACAAAAAATACTTAATTAATTTGCCGAGAGTTCTCAAATATTAATTAATCTATTTTCTGTCTTTTGACTTAAATACTTGTATTTTTAGGTTTGTTGTCTGATGAATGTCCAGCCAGCCCTCTTCTGAAGTTGCCTGATCAACACTGGCTTAATTCTGAAGTAGGAGATATTTCTCTGAGCAGCCTGCTGGGCCACTTAGATTCACCATTAAAGACCAATCAAACTTCTAGTGGCGGAGAAGATGTAAGATTATCAGATGTGAGTTTCTCTAATAATCCCCTGCAATAGTTGGTAGCTATAGCTTCTTTTATTCTAATGGAAAAGCAATTCATGGAAAAGGAACATAAAACTTGTAGAATGTGGTGCATTTGTTAGTCATACTTTGTTAATTCAAAACTGAAGTATGAATGAATTTCTTTCAATAGAAATTATCCTCTAAAGTTAGAATATGCATTTGTTATTTTCTATTATAAGTGGGAACGATTTTTTAGTGTTCAAAGTAATGATACTTTTTTGTTTCTTTTTACTATTTCTCCTTAGAATTCATGATTTGTTGGTTTTTTATACTGAAAAATCGATTGACGGCAAAACGTCTGTCCGTCCGTCCGTCTGTTGCCAATGCTAGCCGCTGAACTGTTAAGCTGATTTCCTCCAAACTTAATATTCTCCAATCAATCTGGCTGCTGTCGTGGCCCCTGGAATTTGAAACTGATATTTTAAGTTTGGGGGGTACTTTACACAAAGCTCCTCATTTTCAAAATTTAAAAAAAAAAAATCTACAAATTTTCTTTCTGCAGCAGTTTGAAGAAATTCTACTCACATATACAATATATTAAGATTCTAAATAAACTGGAAGTGTCTGTGTGTCATTTTCGTATATTGAAATTTTAAACAAGTTAACAACTCTCTTGTTCTCTTTGTAAAACGTATGTCATATTAAATCAATTGTTTAATATAATATTCAAATTATAAAAATGTTGCGGACTGTTTAGAAGCATTTGCGAGGAAGTATCTGCTTTTGTAACACCACTAGTTTAATTTATGAAATTAATTTTATTGTAAAAGATTTTATGAAATATGAAGTATCACAGGTCGATGGCAATAGTAGTATAGCCCATTAATAGATCACTCATAATATCTTCCCTTAGTAGAGCATGTGATTACCACCAACAGCTCTGTTTAAATCCCACCCAGGCTTTTTCTTGTAAGGTTTTGTAAGAAAGTTTAAATATGTGCGATTTTTTTTTAAACTGTGGTCTCTTTTGGTTGGAGTTTATCAAGTGATGGTGATGGCTGAAGTGTTAATAGGTTAGAAATTGTAATATTATTGTATTTTGCAACTGTTACTAATTACACTGGTCTGCAAAATTTAACTTTCTGTCTGATAAATGGAAAAGAATAGCTGTTTCTCATGGAAAATGATGCTATTTCAAATTTGCATAGCATTTATTTGTAAATAGCTATTATTACTCACACAACTTTCCTTAACGATGGATTGAAGAAATGCAGGTAGAGTGGGGGTATTAGTTACGAAATCGGTCACTATGGCTTTTATGAAGCAATGCCAATCTCCGGAGAATCAGTCATGCCTTCGCAACTTTGTCAATAATTTACGTTCTAATTTTCTCAGGAGTTCAAGGAATTTCCTGTGATGACTCTTCACCTGCTTTGGTCATTTATTTAATGTTTTTGGAGAAAATCACGGTCAGAAATTCTCGTCTTCAACGGAAAATAGTTTATATTTCGTGCCATTGAAGATGTGTTTGGAAGTTTTTGTTATCAGTGCACACTGCAAGCTTTTGCATTCAACTGTTTATTGTGTCAGAGAGAGGGAAGCAAGGTCATTGTTCAAGAAAAGTTGCGTGAGTAATACACAATGACTCAGGCGCTAATTTCGTCTTATTGTTGGGACCTGATTTACTGGTATGAAAAGAAGTTACAATTGTCAAATTTATGTTGATATTTGCTTCAAAATATTTAAGTTTTTGCACCAAATGTATGATTTGCAATGTTTTACAAAAATGACTGAGATAATATTAATTTAGAGAGAAATTGTGGTATTACATATCTATTACTAAGGGTGAGAGTGTGCTATTTTAGCACCACTTGTTTCTAAATTTAGCAACTGGATCTATGCACTTTTTCATTATCAGGGCTCGCAACGAAGAGTTGTTTTGCCTATAATTTAGTGTTTTTTTGGACATTGTATAATATTCTGTCTACTGCGTAAACAGTACTGAGAAAGTAAAAGAATTGTGCATTAAACAAGCCCAACTCGAAATGAAAATTAAATCATTGAAGGAAAAATGATCCAAAAGACGTTTAATAAAAGTTCAGTGATTTTGTGATTATTGCAAATGTGATTAATGAAAATTAAAATTTAGTTTGTTTATGGAAGATTACACACACATAAAAAAATCTATCTAGATATAGATATATAGATAGTGCAATTATATAAGTAATGAAATATGTAACACAGGAGAAAATGATAATAAATTAGGAAAAGTACAGGCATATCACAGGGAAAAGAAACTTGGGTTAATGGCGGTCACCTTGTTAGAGTCTCATGTTCTGATCTAAGTTGAGTTCCAGGTAGATTTTTCAGTGTGCCGCCAGTCTTCACGGCTGCTGTCCTGGACACTAGTACATATCAAATACTTCCACGACACTATACATATGATCATATAGATACTGCTACGTATACATATGATCCTTTTGGAGGCATGGTGAAGATAGATGCACTGAAATAATCAGTATCCTCCAGAATTGTAATTATTTGTTCTGTTGTTAATAATCAGAGAGAAAAGATATATTAGATGAATTTTGAAATAATTATTAATGGTACTGTTCGTGCATGGTATTTCAATATTGGAACTTTTTAGAAAAATCATCTCCAGCTCAGCTAAATAGTAATATTTTCAAGATTTGTTAAGTTTATGTTTAAGGACAACGTAATTGACATAGTAACAAAAAGTTCAACATAAAAAAAAAAAAAAAAAAGATTATTTTCACCTTTTATCATTCTTGGTTCCAGCAGTGAAACATGGGCACAATAAACCCTCTCTCTTGGTGTACAGACTTAAACTAAAATCAACCCTTGGCACTATCAGGAAATTCAATCCCTCTGTTGAAGTTCTAGTAATATAACAAAGCCTCCATGTGCGTTCCGCAGTAAGGGGGAGTTAAAGAGAAATCCACTGTTGGCTTCTTCCAATAACACTGGTCTACAAATATCAACTTTTTGGTGGGTTTTTTATTTTAATATGTGAATAACTTTAACGTGACTGTATTGATTATAAATTTGAAATCTCTTTTGTTCCTCTTTGCTAGTGCCCAGCAATAGTCTGCTAACATTCCACCTTCCCTGATAACACTGTTCCATCTAGATGAAATCTTTCACCCTGCTCTTCACTGACACACCCATAATTTTCTGAAAAAAATCTTAGCGAGAGTGTAGGAAATGTACCTTAACACTCATATTTTACTTCTGCTGTCTAAACTTTTCAAGCATTTTTTAAAAAAATATTTTTATAATTTGGATCCTTGATTTCCTAGGAAGTTTTAATGACTTCCTTGAAAGCCGTCTATGCTTGTTCTTCGGTCTGTGTCATTGTGACTTCAAATATGGTATCATTTTCCAACTTCGTTATCTGTGGTCCAACAAATGTACTCTCTTTAATCTTTGCATCAGATATTCCTGGAAATGTCTTGCATATATATTTGTAACAGTTACCATCCTTATTTAAAGACTTAACAAATTGCTTCATAAGTCCCAATTTGATGTGTAAAGGGGGAAGGAGAACATTTTTGGTGTTCTCAAGACTGTCATACAGTATATTTTTGGTTCCTGGAACAAGATTCTCTCTGTTTTCAATTTTCAGTTTTGTAGTCCAGTGGTCAGATTGTGCTCTGCTGTCCCGTTTACATAAGGAACTTTCCATTTTCATGTACGTGAACTGTTGACCAAGAAGAATGCCGATAACTTTAAGATTTCCACACACCTGTCCTCATAATCTTTGTATTTCACTTTCTCTAGAACTAATTTCACATGTTCTTATGTTTTCTTGTGAAGAACTGAATGGGCAATTGGAACTGACAAATATTTGTTTCCATTATACAAAAGAACAGTTTTCATACTCATTTTTGAGGAGTCGATAAAAAGCCTTCCATCACTTGAAAAGTATTTTTCAGCTCCCAAAGCATTCATTAAACTGAGAATATCAAGGCAGTATGGAATATTCTCTTCTTGACAGAAGTATGGGACAAATTACTTGGTGTGGGTGTCTATACCATGTAAATGATGTTCCTGGAGCTAGGAGGTTCTTTTCTTTTAATCTTGATCCTAGGATTTAAGCAGCAGCCTTACAAAGACCCAAGTCTCTTACCAAATCATCAAGTTCATTTTGTGCTAACTGTTGAGACTGCTTGACCTCCTCTTCTCGGACTGGATCTGAATAATTACAATTGTCTTCAGTGTTCCAGAGTCTGAAGATGATTCCTTTCCAAATGTTTCTGATGGAGAAAACACAGGAAATCCCGGTTGATGAGCGACGGGATTGCTGACGAGATTCGGATAAACGAACCCGCAATATCATATACTCAAAAATAACAATCATCTTCATGATTTCGAGGTTCATGCCAAATCATTAGAACATGCTAATTTTCTTCCCTTGACTCCATTTCCTTAATTGTTGATCACAAGTATGACTCACTTTTTTGGGAGCACATTTTTTGTTCAGATCTTCTAGTTTCATACCAAAGTAGGCATGCTATGGGTTTTTAACTAAGTTTGAGATATTCAGTCTTATTTTTCTATCTACAAAACTCCCTCAAATGTGACAAAATGTTATTTTCTGACAAAAAGATTTTCTGTAAGGCATATTATCAAGGAAATAAATTGTTCATTCAGAAATATAACTGCTTGTGGTGCCGAAGGTTGCAATTTCAACAACTAATTTCATGATTTTACTTTCTTTCAATACGTTGATCATAAAAGCTGTAATTGTAAAAAAATGGTACCTAATAGAGAAAAACGATTTGTATTTTAAAAAAAAGGGATGATGTACTTTATAAAGAAGATGTATATCGAAGAAAACCACAGAATCGTGCAGACCAGTGTAATGGAACACTGGGCAAATACGGGTTAAGGTTGAATTGAATTGAATTGAATTGAATTGAATTTGCCTTATTTTACGTGGCGAGACTCGGGCCATCAGGCCCGCTCTTCCGTCTGACCACACAAATTTCGCTACGCTCCTTTCACCAACTGGGAGAGAAAGGAGGTATTTCTTGGGCGAGAAACAGGCGATTTGAATTTAGCTCAGAGGCGTCATTTAGGCTTGAGGATCTTTTACATGCAAGTAAATCTACGAACATGGGACAGCCGGCTTTACTTCCCCTCCGAAGGAAGGCGTACGAAGGATTTTTTCACCCTTAAAAATCCACGGCTTCGATCGGGTTTGAACCCGCCAACTTGGGTACAACAGTACAGTACGCTAACCGTTACACCATCGCCGCCAAGGTTCATTCCAAAGTTTGAAGGAGGGTTTTCCATTTTGAGTATAAGAAACAAAAAGTTTGTGTAATATTACAGGCAGAAACAGCACTGAATGTCGTGTAAGGATTTTCATGTTAGTCCTTTTACTTTCTGAGTACTTGAATAATCCAAGTGTTGTTTTTGTTTTCTTTAAATATGTCATTACCCTACCTGGTGGAAGGTAACAGTACATACTTCTGCACAGCGTCCTACTCCAGATTATGGCAGATGAATTGAAAGAAAAATGTAAGATGATGTGCTTTAAACTCACCATGTTTAAAACCATAAATTTGTAGCACCTGGCTGGTATTTAATCCGAAATCTCCCAATCATCAGCTCACCGATTTGTAAAGTGTTGCCTTTGTACTATTCACTGATGCTGGAGTATTCAAGTTACAAAGAAAAAAATGCAACAATGATTTTGTGATGTCATTTTATTTGGTTATGTTTTTTTGAGCTTTACAGTAAACTGACAGTTTCAAATTATGTTAATTTACATCTATTTGTTATATTACTATTGGTTGTATTCTTAATCACAGGATTTGTTTCAGGTGGAGACACAAATGCAATGTTTGATGAGTGAGAACAGTGTTGACTACTCAGCCAAATTTGCTGTATTAGCTGCCCAGGTAGCTGCCTCTGCAGAAACTAAAAAGTGAGATTATTGTATATTTCTTTCTTTTGTATACATCTTATAATTTTTCTGATATTGTTTTTGAACAGTGTACATAAACTGTACAGCATATGTAAATATTAGAGAGGTAGCTAGAAAATATATATTTTTTACCAGTTGATTGTGGACACAATGTGTCTCAGTTGCAGTTTGTGGCATATACAACCATAATTGCAGTGTTCATATTGTCTTAACGTGTAGAAAATATTTATTCTTTGTAATTTAGTATGTGGGTTTTTATAAATGGCCGCATGTATATTTTAATGTCATGACGGTCTGTGTCATAAAAGTTTTGACAAGTAAGCTATGTAAATTGTGTGCCATACATATATGTAATAAACTTTTTTAGCAGAATTATTGTGTTGAACAAATTCCTTTTATCCTCTGTGATTCACTCTTCCACAGGTGGTACAATTTTTATTTGGGCAGGATTTATCATTTCTTCATAATGTATTTTAGGGAAGTTTTCTTTAAAGATTTTAGCCTGTCCATCTATTTGGGCCCAGAGAACTAAACTGCGCGAACAAAACCTGGAAGGGGAAAAAATATCATATTTCATATGGAAATATCTTTCAACAAATGAAATAGCTTGATCTATTTTTTCTTGTACAGTGAATTTATAAACAAGGTTTAATTCTTAATTGTTATAAATGTGAGTTTTTAAACAATTACTTGTCTTTATATGTTCCAAAAAAATAATTATAAATAGTATATGAATTTTTAACACTAATTTTAGCAGAATAACTAGACTTGATCAATTAAAAAATAAATGGTTATAAATTGGTTCAGATTATTCTTCACTTTCCTGTTCACCCCTCCAAAGTTAGCAAATATTAATAATTTTAAATTTATAATCTTAGTGGATATTCACATAGAGACTTTCCTAGCTAACTTGTATGATTTGCGGTGATGTGTTACAAAAACACTATATTTTATTATTATGAAATGAAACATAAAACCTGAAAATTGTGAAGTTTGATTATACAATGCAAAGCATAAAAATGTGTATCGGTGTATACGTGTGTGCCTAAAACATTAACTTAATGAAGCTAACATTTGGGGGCAATGCTGGATGATCCTCAAAAATAAGATTTCTTTATCCTACAAATAAATTGTGTAAAATAATGGAAATTTAATCAGAGGAAATATAAAGTTTTCTTGGGAAATTTGGAAGAAGTATTTTGGGTAAAAGGGAACTTTTCCAGACGAGTAAAATTTGAAGTCAATAATGATTAAGCGAACTCCACTTCATTGATATATTATTTATTGCATAATTCTGTACTTAGATTTCTAAGGATTAGAAATCTAGAGGCTAAGATTTCTAACTTTATTTTCAATGATTTTGAGGTTTCGATATCTATAATTCTTCTTGGAGCACAAAAGTAACTTGAGTCTCGATTACTGTCTATTTAAGCTTGAAAAAAGAAGCCATAATTTCATTATTGCAGCTAGAGGTGCAAATAGTTTTCTTTACTCCTAAAAAGCAAGAAATTGCTAGTTACGACTCTTAACCTCTAAAGTACGGAATTATTTAATGTTAACTGCTTTTAACTCCAATATTGATTTATTGTTAGAAAATTTACTTGCATCTGGAAAACTGCATCATTTTATTTTGGAGGGTGTGTTTCCTAAGATGCACATTTTTATTAAAGAATAATATTCCCAATAAATCAAGGAAATCACTCCTCTGCTTCCCATATCCATCCCCTAAGGTTCTACTCTTACTTGTATTCAAAATACATTATTTGTATATTCTATTAAAGTTATAGTGGTTTAAAATGCAATTTATTTAAAACTCCCCCCATAAGTTTGCAATAATGGCTTCAAACAATCTAATTTTAATTTTAACAATGTGAAATTAATGTTGCTGAAGTGTAAAAACAGAGAAGTCTTGTTGTGACCTTAAAACTAGGTTTATTCTTCTAAAGTTTTTCCATGTGTATTATTAGTGCAGAAACAATAAAACATCGTTGGCTTCTCTGATGCTAGGTACATTTGAAAGCATTAAGAGACATGCAATTTTTACAATTTTCATTTCTTAAGTTACTTTACGCATGTTTACAAATAGTACCTATTGTGTTAGGGATGCTAGTGCATTGGGAAGTAGTGACAAATGGATCATTCCAAGTCAAATCATGCAAATGTAAGGAAAATTTGGCCTTGATGTCCCAGATTTTGAACATTTTTATTTCTTTGCAGAGTATAAGCAAAAATATGAAACAATGTTTTTCATTTTTTCTTATTATTATTTTTGGAGATTAAATTAATTTTTAAAATTTTAAAAAGAAGTGTTCGCTTTGCTAAAGTTAATCATTTTTAACCCGTGTTGTAATTGTCACAGAAATTTAATATTTTCCGACACTAAAGAACAAAAGATGCTCTTTCATTTGATGAATATAATTCATTAATTTTTTTAAAATACATTTTTGAACCCCCTTTTTAATTTAATTTTATTTTTTAATTTCTCCTAAAACACAATAGTTTAAAAATTTGGAAAAAATACCATTGATATCCCTGAAAAGTTCTTCATAAGTTTGGTAAGTTACAAAGTGGGACGTCGAGATGATTCTGAGGAATTAAAAGCAATAGAACTGTCTACCTGCTGTTTTGCTGTGGCGTCTGCTAGAGCGTCACCCGCACGGGCACATGCCAATCAGCAGTTGATGATTACCATCAATATACTTTCACAGAGCAATAAATAGAAGTATCCCTTCACATCTTATTATGTGCCATATACATACATATGACCTTCATAGCCGATTTAATTCAAATTAAAGTGTGTCAAACGTATTCAATTCAATATTGAACAGACAGAGTATTACAATGTGAGATTAATGTTGTTATTAATGTGATATAGTTAATTATGTTGATGTTTCTTTTACTGAACTTTACAGAGACTATCATTAATGAAGCTTTTCATAAGAAATGAAACTGTGTATATTCTTTGTGACTTCTACTGATTTTTATTATATCATCGTTACAATGGTCCTCTTTCTAAGTATTGTTCAGCGTTGTTAAAAATATAAAGGTAATGTTCTTTGCGTTATCGTCAGCCCACTTAAATAACTTCTTGGGATATTAATAGGTTCTTGTTAGGATTGAAGGCTAGCAATTATTGAGAATATTACAGATGCTCCCCTCCCCCTACGTCGCATGGTCCCTTTCCATAAGACGTTGCAAAGCGAAGAAATAACATTCAGTACTGGCATTGAAGGCATCTTTGTGGAAGCATAAACTTGCATTGTTTTGTAATACTAGGCACTGACCCTATCCCAAAAATATGCCTGTTAATGCTGTCATAATCTTACTTGAAGTGTTATGAGTTTACACTGAAAAGGGTGAATTGAATTCATGTTGTGTTTCAGGTAGAAAAGGAATTTTTTTTTTAAAATTATTCTTTGCTTTGATTTGCAAATAATAATACTTTTGATATTATTGTAAGACTATGTGTGATTATTAACTTCACAGACAACGCACTTGTTTCACGGATTTCTCTGATTACACAACTGACTCACTATATTTGCGAAAGAAGGTTGCTTTGTTTTTGGTAGACCCAAGCAGTGTCAGTTGTTCATAAATGAACTTAATAGTAGCATTTCTTCAGAAGACTTCCATTTGAGACCATATGTGTGTTTCTGTGATATATAACAAGTCCCAGGGATGCTTTATGTTGGATGTCACAGTGCGTCGTATTATTGATGCCCCGTAGTTCGAGCAGCGAGTCCAGTGGGCAATGGTCTACCTACATGCTCCGGTGAAGAAACTATTTTTTTTAAATGTTATTTGTGTGTGTCCCACTTTGAAATTTGGCAAATCTATGCAACATTAGTGTAGAAATACACAAGTATTTTTTACAATTAATTTAAGTGTCAACCTATTGTAAAAATTTGCATTTTAAAAGTTTTTTAGAGATTTTTTCCAAAATTATTTTCCTATCAATCTGGTCTGACCCGAGGTCTGTGAATTTTCGGAGCACCTTGCATGAAATCCTTGGGACGTTCTTCAAAAAGTACTCCAAATTTTTCCTTAAATTTCTAGCTTGAGTAAAATAAAATGTGCTTGTAAAGATGACAATGATCAAATTTTAACTGTAAACTCTGAATCTTAGCAAATTATTTGGACCCCTTGTAAGAGCTACATTATTAAAGAAAAATGTTTTTTCTTCAATGAAATTTGTTCAATTTAGATTTTTAATTATTATAATGTATATTTTATAAAGAGAATAATAGTGTTTCCGTAATTTTGTGTGTTTTAAATAATTTTTTAGAGTTGGTTAACTTTGAGAAAATTGTTCAGTATTGAGCACAATGTTGTTAATTTTAATACTGAAAAGTAACTTCATTTGCCTCATTGCTATGGTGCTGAAGTAATTGTGACATATAGATTCAATACTGCTAAGCACATTTTAAATAAAGGTAATTTTTAGATATACAGTAAAACCTGTCTAAGCCAAAATCGTTTGGGTCCAACATATTTTCAGGCTTATTCAGGTTTGCAATAAAAATTGTCAATTCTGAAAATGCAACTGTGCGAAGATGGATTGGGTTTTATGAGTAATTTATCTCACCTAAAAACCACATTTCAAAGAAATTAAGGTGTCCCAGGAGAGACAAAGAAAATTACTTACAGAAACACAACACAAAGTCTAATGAACTCCATAAAAAGTCATTAAAATATTATTTTTTTCAATATTTGTGAGAACAGATGAATTCATATGATGATTTAGGCTTCAGCTATTTGCGTAAGTACTCGCGAATATTGTGGCAACCACCTATAAAAAATTTGTTTTAACCACTTATTCTTGATTTTGTCTTTGTTTTTAATATAACAGATGTGTTATTTAGTTTGTGTCCTTCAATTAGTCTAATTTTCCCACAAGAGATAACGTTTTCAATTTGCTGCAGACATCGTAAACGTTTGATTCATAACACCTGCAACACATCAAGCTGAACAAAAGTAAACGATTACTGTAAACCGAACCCAAAGCACGGCGTTACAAGAACTGTAGAAGTTCTTTGTGTCTCTCCTTCCTTCACATAGGCAGGTGAAGTACTCTCATACTAACATAATACACTGTCGTACTAAACTCTCCTTTCCGTTTCCATGACAGGCAGGTTTTCGGCTTATCCAGATAACTTTGCATTGAAAAATAGGCATTTTTGATTTTTTTCCCCAGCATATGCAGATTTCTGCCTTGGACAGGTTTTACCGTTTTATATTATTATTTGTTTCATAACTTTAACACCTTTTCAAACACTTCAGTGAATTAAATTGACTTTGTAAGACAGGAGCTTGGACAGGTGAGTCAAGTATTAATAGTAAGGTTGTAGGATTGAAATCTGCTCTGAATTTTTCAAGTTGTTTTTTGGAGGGGGTTCCAACACATTTTTATATTTCATCTATACCCTAATCCATCCATAATCCCTAGGCCAGACCGGCAGTTGTGTGTATAATTCAGGAATTGGCTCCCTACACCCAAAATGATGGTACTTTACCAAGATGGTGCCAAGGGAAACCACAGGCAAATATGTAAAGGTATGTATCACAGATAGACTTATGCAGTATTCAGGGACCACAAAGGTACTCCTTATTGGTAATGTTCCAAAAGAGTAATGGTACGTAGTATGAGCAACATCGATGTTGATTTTTTAAAACATGAACTGATTAAAACATCAATATTTTGCAATGTTTTGTTTATGTATAAAACTATTCCATAGCAATAAATTTCTTAAACTTAAAATATACATAAATCAGTTCATGCTTGCAAATGAAGTGAACATTGTTTATAATACTTTCATCAAACAATCTCTCCCCTGAGAGATGGCCCGATGCCCTGGTATTCCTTTTCCTTTCTTTCTTTGTATTTTGAATGGAGAGATGTCAGTGTGTGTGCAGTACGCCTTGGACCTCCTTTTTTCCCCCTTCTACCACAGTGAATGGAGAAAGCTCTTGACTCTTTGAGATGATCCTGGGTGCTCACACTTTCAGGCTCAATTTCGTTCATTGTTGTTGTTGTTGTTTGTTTGTATGTGTGTGCGTGCGCGTGCGTGTTTGTCAGTTAAATCTTAATTCTAAATGGTTAATTGCAGTTATTATCACGTTAAGTTTCTCGCCATGCAAACGTAAATGCTAGAACATACTAAACATTTTTTAAAAGCACAGACATTTACAAATATTGATTGTTTTGGAGCGATTTACTATAAAAATCGACGTTTTAATTTTAAACGTAGATGTCACATCCCTACTGCAAGAGGCCTTGGTATATCTTTTAATCTATGATAGCTATTGGTGAAGGGTGGTGCAAAACTGAAAAACTAGTTTGGATTCAGAAGAATAGAAAACTAAAGTGTATGAGAGTCTGTGCAATTTATAATACTAGTTACCTTTTGGACACTTCTTGTTGAAAGGCTGTGATAATTTCTTCTGAGAATTTCTTTGTATTAATATATAAAAATACTATGTTTTTACATTTTTCCAGAAGTGAGTAACAGACTTCTATTGAAGGTGCTTCTCCAGAATGCTTCAATATAGCAATGCGCTGAAGTTGTGAATGTTTTGATAGTGCTTTCAACAGAATGTGGAATGGATGCATACTATCATCTTCAAATCTAAATAGGGAAGGATTCACAGAACTTTAAAATAATTCTTGTTCTGGTGAAAAGTAATTTGTCAGAAAAAGTTCTGTTATGAGTTTTGATGTTCCCACATCCTCTTCTAAATTGTTGTGGGCAACCTTTTCTTTCTTTTCCCCAATTGAAGGCTTTGGTGTTCTAACTCATTTTGAGTTTTTTTACCTCTGGAAAAGATAATTTATTCTAATAGTTTAAGTATATTTACCTGAAATCTTTCAACTGAGTTAGAGTTGTTACCATGTCAACAACATCCCTGATTATACAATGATCCAAGTGAGAGTTGGGACCAATGAAATGCAATCCAAGTCTTTGAAGTTTGGGGCAACAAAGACCAATCTAAAAAAATATATATCATTGTAAATCAGCATGTCAAATTAAAACAAGAAAAGAAATTATATTCATCCTTACTTGGATAAGAGAGCTGGAAAGTTCTGCTGGTAAACTTGCCAAGAAAAGACATTCAAGTTTTGTCCAATAACTAATGTACCGCAATGATCCTAGGTCTTCCAATGATGTCATTTGGTTACATAATCTGTTTAATGGTAAATATAATTCACATGAAAAGCCTCATGATTACACTGAAGGTAATGATAACATATTTTGAATTGTTAAAATGATAAATAAGTATTGCTATTTTAATCTTCCTTTTGTGAACACATTGATAAATCCTATTACATCTGCTGAAGTTTAAGTTCAAGCAGTTAAATAATGAGACAGAATCTGCAGTAATCATTTCATTTTGTTGTGAAATTCAACCTGATTAAATTTAATACAAAAGAAAAGTTGAGATATTTCTGCTTGGTTTTTTATGGGGAATTGGTTAATTTTGACTCAGGTTGATTATCAACAAGCGACACTAAAGTTTTGTGTATTGATAAGTTTATTGAGCAATTACCCAAACTTTGTGCTAAAAATGTAAATAACTCGCAACACATTTGTACTTCTCTGTGAATCCAAATCAAGTTTGAAATTACAGGTAATCATTTCTAACAAATCTAATAAGAATTCACATTGTTAAAAGCACGTCACTGATAGGGAATTAAACCTCGGCCTCCTGGTGTATGCCCAGTTCTTATTTGTATTCATAAATATAAATCAATTCAAAAAGCACTGAAAAATTTATTTCAACACATTGTAAAAAACCAACACAACTAGATGGTGTTCTAGTCCTGTTAACCATATATTAGTGATAAAATTCCTGACACAAGATATATATTTAAATTCTAATAACTTTCAAAATAGTATCAAGTTTTATTTTGAGATCTGAAACCAAAATATGGTGTACCTTATACAATCTTTGATTTCCAGTGTCTTTAAATTTGGAGTGCGTAATGCAAATTGTGCTAGAAGACTAGAATCTTGTGGCTTAATTACTGAAGTTTGAAAGTGATGTCTTTCCAGACCTTGGTCTTCATTTTTATCAGTTATTCTGTGATCATTTGATTTGTAAGTTGTTGCCAGATTAGTGTCATTCCTCTTTTCTGCTGGCGCAGTGAAATTTTTAACAAATTTTCCATAATTTTTTGATACTAGGAAATTGTCTTGAATATCATTCCGTATCCCGGAATACCAAGAGGTACTTTTTAAATAATTTCTTGATTTTTTGTCTTCATAACTGCTTGGATTTTCACTACTGCTATCAGTATCAGTACCACTGTCATTGTCATTATCAAGTTCTTCATTTCTATATTTTAATAGAGGAGTCTTTTTCAATAAAAGAGTCAAAATTTCATTGTTTTGTAGCATCTGAAAACTTGGTTTAGAAAACTTGCTTTGGATTACTGTGAAGCTTTTTGTAAGCTTCAATGTACAGTCATAACAAAGATCATTACATTCGAGTAATTTGACTTTCAAATTCTTAATTCTTGGTGTGTCTTCTTTTCTTAAAGTCAAAATGACTTCATGTACATTTAAGGTATTCTGTATTTTTGATGCTGTTGAATTAATTCCATAATCATTTAACAATGAATCAAATTCATTTTCTTCAACAAACTGTATGAGTAAATTATCCTGGTTATTGACTTTCTGAAGGTAGACTTTTCTAGAAGATAGATTTTTGGTGTGGATATATTTGTTTAAAGGTCTGCTGTAATTTTCTCGGCACTTTCCTTGGGCATCCTCTGAATTGTACCATTTTTGACTCCTACAACAATCTGCACAGAGAAAAAGTGTTAGGTACACATTTTGTTGTACCAACTAGAAATTATTTGAATTGTCAAACCATTTTTTTCATTCTGAAGAAATACACAGAGGGGAGCAGAAAGGGAAATTAAATGAGGCATCAGGCTGATATTTTTTACAGCAATTGGCTTTCTTAAATCATTGCAATACTCCGGGTACACATACAAGTGCTTAAGTCCAATTGGAAGGTAAACCTGGAACAAATACAAATTTCAGTTTGATGATTGAGGTGAAGAGTTGTTGTTGAACAGATAAAAATATTATTTATTTTATTTAATAATTTTTTGATATTGATAGAAAATTATTTCTAACAATGTTAAATTATTTCTTTTGCCAACAAAGAGATAGAATTTTGTGTTTTGTGATTCTTCACTTCACAACTACCACTCACAAAATTTATTTCTGAGCGTTTGTATAATTGCTGAGTAGAAATATTTTGATCAGTAATTTATTTTACAAATTCCGTCATTAAAACTGCTTTACACTTTGACAGATATTAATTAAAACTGACAGAACATACATAAGTTTAAAGTTATTTTGAACAAGGCAATGAACTTTTTGTCTTGTCTTCATCTATGTTCCCACATACTGCTTCATGTGACTTCTAGTGATTCATTTCAACTAAATCCATGTGAAATTCCTCCACACCTATTTTTGTTAGGGACAGAGGTGAAGCAATTTTTTTCCACTAAATGTTTTGAGGAGTTCTGGACTTCAGATAAGGAAGGGTAAGTGAAAAGCAATCTTCAACACCCCCACCAAATGAGGCAGAAAGAAATCTAGGGGCTTCCCCTGCAGCCACATCCAACAAAGAAGTATTGTCAAAGGGAAATCGAAGTCTATCCACCACCGATGATCAAGACACAACCTCTGACTCTGAGACAAGTTCTAAGGTAACCGCAGAAAATAATAATTACCTGTCCATCGCTTCAAACAAAATTCCACATAAGAAGAAAATGAAAGGATGGCTAAAGGAAAACCAAGAAAATAAACACCATCATATAGGAGCATAACCTCATCCCAACCATGGACAATCTTATTCAATGGATCATTAATGGTTGTATTTCGCATTATTGTCTGGTGAAATTGCTACTGGCCAATCAATATGTATGTTTACAAGAAACCTGTTTTAAACCAGAAGACCATTTCAGTTGAAGACCTTTCGCAGTGATGTAGAACCTGATAAGACCGAGTTAGAGGTGATGTCATATTGATCAGCAGTACACACCCTGCTAGTCGTCTCACCCTCAACACACCTCTACAAGCAGTAGCTGTAACCTTATACTATCCATTGAAGATGACGTTGTTGCATATATTTACCCGACGCCACATGGCAAAATGATGATCTACAAGACCTGATCTGATCGATCAACTACAACCTCCATTTTTTCTAGGCGACTTCAATGCTCACAGTACCACATGGGGCTAGCTTTGGTGTTTGGTGATTTCTGGGCATGCATTTTCAGCTCTTCCCAGGTTGGGTGAGTGGTTGCCTTCGGTGTGTGGTAAGTGGGAAAGAGGTGGGTGGGGGATGTGGGAAAGGAATCTCTCGCTACCCCAGACGTGCTGTTGTTCGGAGAGATAGGATGGGAGGGGGAGGGCGAGAAGAGAGGGAGAAATAGAAGATAGAAGTATATGAAAGGTTATTTTGTTGAGGGTGCGATTTGTGCAGGTTTTGTTGGTGTCAATTTTCTATGGGTGAGTGGGATCTTTATGTGCTGGGCGGTGGTAGTTGTAGGATGTCAAATGGGTGGTGAAATATTCTTGTGTGGACGGGGGGGGGGGTTGTAAGAACTGTTTGGTGCTGTCGGGTTTGTATGAAAGGAGTGAATTTGTCGTTATTTAGAGCAGAGTTTATTCGGAGTTTAGCGGTTTCGTAAATGTCTTTGTCTATGGCTGTCATTTTAAGTTGTTGTCTGAGTCTGTTGTAGTTTGTCATTGGCGGTGGTCTGAAAGCTAGTCGTAGAAATCTATTTTCTGTCTTGATAAGTTTTTTGTATGTATAGTCGGCGGTTGTTGCCCATGTCTCGCAGTTATAAGTCATTGTCGGTTTAACGTAAGTATTGTATATGTAAAGTTTAGTCTTAGTCTGCGTGAAGGGGTGTGTCAGTATTGGCGTCAGTGCGTTTAGGCGTCTGTTGGCTTTTTGAGTAATGTCATTAACGTGTTGGTTCCAAAGAAGTTTGTTATTGAGTGTCACGCCGAGATATTTTGTGTCGTTGGTCCAGTTGATGGGGGTGTTGTCGATAGTTAGTGGAGGAGGGGTCTGGTGAGTCTTGTAAGTAGTGCCTCTTTTGAAGAAGACGGCCTGGCTTTTGTTGGGGTTAATTTTGAGGTTGTTGTCTTTTGCCCATTCGGCGATTCGGTCTAAGTCGTTTTGAAGTATATGTATCGAGTTAGGGAGTTTGGGGCTGTTCTAGGACAAATGACCCCGGTCGCAGAATGAACCTGTTACTTAAAAACGAATACATACTTTTCAGCACAGGAGCAAGCACAAACTTAAACGCAAGAAATGGCTCATTCTCGGCCATAGATCTTTCAAGATGTTCAAAACACGGTTGACGTGGAAACCACTGTCAGATCATCAGAGTGATCACTTTCCTATATTATCATCAAATATACCAAAGAACGCAGTGTGTTTACCGAAATGTTGGTCTACCGACCGTGCGGACTGGTCCAGCTTCACGAGACATGTATCACCAATAAATGTCAATGGAAACAAGAGAAAGATGTTACAGATTTCACCAACACCAATCTCTGCCGCTGTAAAGTACATTCCACAGACTAGGGGCCGCCCATCTAGGATTCCAATACCATGGTGGCATACGGAGACCAAAGAAGCAATAAGGATGAAAAGAGTCCTCAATAGATATAGGCGTACATCAACCCCAGACAATCTTATAGCTTTCAGGCGTCTGCGTGCACTCGCTCACAGAAAAATACTAGCAGAAAAACGATCAAGTTAGGAAAAGTACGTAACAACCATAACTCGGACGACCAAAGTCACGGAAATATGGCTGACAATCCGGTCAATAGCTGTTTTCAGTCCTACCACGTGCAAAGAACACGACGGACAACTAATTTGCAACCCATACCCAACGTCTTCTCGACTCAATACTCCAAAGCTTGTAACACAAACAGCTACTCTAAAGACTTTCTCGAGAAAAAGAAAGAAGAAGAAATGCTAGACTTTACAATTGATACAGATAAGCGATATAACGCTCTTTTCACGTGGAGAGGATTACAAGACGCCATAAATGCAACCGGAGGCACGGCAGCAGGATCAGACAATATTCCCTATAGCATACGTCGGTTACTGAAGGTAATACTGTAAACCCTGTTAAACATATATAAGAAAATTTGGACACAAATTAATTACCCCCAAGTCTGGAAAGAAACGATAATAATTTCACTTTTAAAGGTTTGAAAAGACCCATTGAAACCTGAAAACTATCTGCCGGTATCGTGCACGTGGTCTAGGAAAATTCTTAGAAAAACTTTTCAACACTCGGTATCTCGAAAGAGACAACCTCCTGAACATAAATCAGTGCGGATACAGACAACTCTACAATCGACCAGCTAATATATTTGAAAAACGCAATTCAGAATACCTGCATCAAAAGAAAACATGGTTACCGTATTCTTTGACCTGGAAAAAGCTTTTGATAAGACCTGGTGATATAATATTGAGACAGCTATATAACTGGCAAATAAGAGGAAATTTGCCAAAATTCATATCCAGCTTCCTTAGTACCAGATCTTTCCAAGTTCGTGTTGGGCAGTCTTATCTCAGAAAGCTACGCAACTAGAGAATGATGTATCGCAAGAGCTTCCATTGTCAGGTTGCTCTTTATCATAGTGATCAACGAGATGTTTGATGATGTAGAAGCATTAATTGGAAAATGCACGTATATAGATGAAATTGCTATGTTATTCAGTGAAATCACCGGCAATGATCAAATTCAAAATTCCATCAAGAAATTAGTACAGAACGCGAAAAAACATTGGTTTCTCATTTACAGCAGCTAAAACCAAATGCGTTCACTTATGTAGGAAACGGAAAAGATTCAGAGATCCAGATGTGGCGCTAAACGGTGTTCAACTGCCTGGCGTACAATGAAATGGGAAAATTCCTTGGTTTGATTTTTGACAGACATTTAACGGAAACAGCATCTAGAATACACCTTCTCTAGATGCAGGCCTCCGTTATGCATCTGGAGCGTTCCTCACTAGTCCTTCCTTAAGCCTCTATTGTGAATCCAGTATCATGTCGCTATATCACAGACGACACTACTACTCAACCATAGATCAAAAATGCTGTCACTACTGGAACATTTAAACCATTCATTGAAGACTCGACCCAACTTAGCAAAGATTTATGATTGAAGAACTTCAGCTGCCCGTTCAGCCAAATCCGTGCATTCAAGATAGCCAAGTGCTATAAAATCGTTCAACCACGAGTTTCGAAACATATACCATATGAAATTCCACTTTGGATGCTGGAAATGCCAGAAGTTTACCAATGTAAATAAAAAGAATGCGTTCCCATGTATCTACAATTCAGATTTCTATAAGTTCTCGAAGAATACGCGTCAAGTTACACAATAATATACACAGAAGGTTCAAAAATAAAACATCGGATAGGAGGCGCATTTGTAACTGAAGACATAACAACTTGGACACTTCCACCATAAGCAAGTGTGTACACTACCGAATTATATGCTGTATTGCAATCTTTGCGACACTGTGAAATTCTCAATTCAAAAAAATTCGTCATCTGTACAAACTCGCTAAGTCTTCTCAATGCAATAGACACCAAACTGTAGACCCACTACTATAAATGCTTTTTATATCATGTCATAAATTAAAGCGGCGATCAGTTACGTTCATCTGGTGCCCTGGACACATGGGTATGCCAGGCAATGAAGAAACCGATTCTGATACACTCAAGGCTACTCAAGACACTCAAATATACTCTGATACACTCATGGCTTCTGAAGAAGCCATTTCAGCATACACTCAAAAGATGGTCAAAAAACCCAGTGATACAGGGATCACAGATCTAGAAGAGTTGTTTCAGGCTTACACTCATAGATTGGCACCATAAAAAATTAGTATTTCATCAAAACCAATATAATGTAAGATAAATGTTTTTGTTTCTAATACTCAGTGTTATCTGTTATTTTATAAAAGTAGTTATGCAGCTGAAAGACTGTACTTGGCTTTGAAGTTGAATAAGGCCATCATGTTCAAAGTTACATGGTAAAACAGTGTACTCGTATAACTTTTGCAGTGTGCCGAGGATACAGACCCATTTATTAGAATATGTTTCCTATGTCATGTGTTAAGTTATGTCTTAAGTATTGTAAGTTATTTATTGAGTCATGTATATTCTGCCTATATTCTTAGAAATTACAATTTTAAGTTAATTATGTAGTACAGATAGAAGTGATATCGCTTACATTTCAGAATGAAAATAATTGTTAGCATTAAAACTAAAGTTTTCTGGGAAGTACATAATAACTATTGAATGACATGCTTGTGTAAGTTTCAGGTTTCCATGAATTCTTAACAGACAGAAAAAGCAGGTAATTAGTATGTTCTGTATTGCAATAATTGTGAATGTATTTTAAGTAAATGTATTTTGTCTGTGGAAGATATCTTTTCTATTAGTCAATGATTAGTATATCTACTCTATAACTTTTTATACTTACGGGAAGAGGTCCATTTCCCCATAAAATATGTGTGAGGGAAGAGTTGTAAAGAAGTGAATCTAAAGCATTCAAGCATCTTACTTCCTTGAAAAGTCGAAAATCTAGGTGGCTTATGTATTTTGAATTGAGTATTTGCTGTAAGCTATCTTTATTTCCTCGAGCAGAAATAGCTTGAATTTCTTTCAGAGATCCGTTTACAGCAGGAACTACAAAAAGTATAAAATGTAAGATTTCCTTCATAACTAGTTTAATTGTTATTGCAAAATAACAATTGTGATTTAAGCCCATTGTGTCAACTCAAGACCACAGCTTATTGGCATATTGTAACCTTCACATTGCATAGTAGAACAAACATGCATTGTGCTATGTAGGGCTGACACCGACACCTGGCTGGCACCAAGAGACCGCAAGGTAGATCCACCCACTGGACCCTTGCTTTACAAACCTGGAAATGCCGGCCAAAAGAAATATGAACAAACAGGAGATGATCTTGTATGTTGCTGGCGGGCACAATCTCATGCTCCATAAAAGAGGGTCCTTCTGTGAGCCTAATTGTGTATGGCACAATAAGATCTAATGCAATTATAATTCATGAGAGTATGCAAATGAAACATGCTGAATGATGTGAGAGAATAATCCAGGAGTACTATGAGCAAGGAGTTTACATTGCTTTGCTACGTGGGAGTCATAATTTTGTAATCATGACAAACCATTGGCTGCAAGCAAATAGCGGGAAGACCTTTAGGAGCATATAGCTCCATGAAGTTGAACATCTGAAAGATCTGAGGAAGAGATCAGAGCCACCAGATCAAAGAGCACTCGAATGACCTTCAGATTATTTTCGTACTCACCCTGTCTCGCAGGCCAATGTCAAGTTTCCAAAGCTGAAAAAGCTGTGGATTGGGCACAGCTAATATGTTCGTATTTCAGAAATGTTTTAGGGTAATTTAATTTCAAACTGAAAAGTTCATGTATTTCAATAGTTATACTAGCTGTGTATCTCTTACCAAAAATTAAGCCTTATAAGAATCTCAGAATATGTTGGGAAATAGACTTATTAGTGAGCTTTGTTACAAGCAGTTCCATGAAGACAGATTTTCATAAGATAAATGAAATGAGCAAAGCTTATAAGTTGCAATACAATTATTGAAATTTTACATACCCATTAAAAATAATATGAGAAAGTGAGCTGTTTTGGAACTATTAGTTTAAAGTAGGATGTTTATATTTATCATAGAAGTTACTCATTATACAGTTACAGAGAGAGAGAGTTAAAAGGGTACAAATATTACTTGGAAACAAAAATTTCTACTTTTTAAATGATAGCATTCTTGTTGGTACCTTTCTTCATAATTCTATTCTGTCCAGTAAAAGAGTGAGGTATGGACTGTGGAGCTAAAGAAAACATACACACATTGTACTTCTCCCCCATACAACACCCAGTTTTTATTGTTTTTTATAAATAAGCAAACAAACAAACAAATAAACACACAAAAAAAATTAAATAAAAAATACATACATAAATAAATATTGAAAGTAAATAAATAAATATTGAACGTAAATAAATAAATATTGAACGTAAATAAATAAATATTGAACGTAAATAAATAAATATTAAAAGTAAGTAAATAAATAAATATTGAAAGTAAGTAAATAAATAAATATTGAAAGTAAATAAAGGAACATTGAACTCACCTGTTGGGAAAGAATTAATCCAGTAAGTTTTCCAAACAACCAATTTGCATGAGAGCAAAATTTTGGAAATGAGATCTTCCCAAAAGTGATTGGAATCGGCAACTTGTATCACTAAAGAGCGTAAATGGGGAAACTTGAACTTTTGCTGACTGAGGCCTGTTTCATAATTGGCACTTTTTTGAATACATGTCATCTGTTAATATTTAAATTTGAAAATTAGATACAATGAAAAGGTCAAAAATCACTTTCAATACCGAGTTCAGTGGTCTTCTTAATCAAGCAATATCAAGAAATGAAATATCTCACACAATGGAAATTTATTTTCATGTTACATATTGTAGATTGATCAATCAACATCAAAACATGGGTGACTTGTCAGTAGTAGTTTATTATATAGCTGTGTAATAATAAAGTTTGATAAATAAATTATAATATGTAATAATGTATACTAAGAGATAGAACTGATTATTTTAATGTTATTATAGATAAATAGCCAAATTAATGTTACATATTAATAATTAAGGAAATACTATGACTAAACTGTAGCCAAATATTTGCCCTCCAGCACACTAAAGAAAACAAAATCTCCTCATACTACTCCTGTCCTCAGTTGATAAATTGTAATCTCACAAGGATCCATCCTTGGCCCAATACTATTTCTCCAAACAAAATTGTGTTGTTCTTTCTTAAAGCCAAAGGCATGTCCTTTGTTGTTTGCAGATGATACAAGCATAATCATCAAAGCAAAAACACTACAATCATTAGAAACAGCAACTCTCAAAACTTCGCATGCACTAGTAAAATGATTATAAGACAATAAACTCATCATAAACACCAGGAAGACTGTCTCTAAATTTCATGAATCCTCGATTTAAAGAAAAACTCTCACAGCATTTGCTCATAAATAATATTCCTGTAACGACATCTTATGAAACGACCTTCCTCAGTCTAACAATCAAGAAAACCTAAAATGGAATGCTAACATCTCAAATCTTAAGAAGAAGCTCACCAAATTTGCCCTATGCACCCTCAGGTCAAGCTCTGAACATTGAGACACTTCGAACAATGTATTTCGCAAATGTACACTCACACCTAAAATATGGAAAATATTTTGAGGATATGACCCTGAAAGCACTCGCACATTTGTTATCCAAAAAAGAATACTATGAACAATGACAAGCACTCGTAAGCTGGAGTCTTGCAAACCCTTCTTCTATAAACTAAGAATTCTTCTTCTACCGTGCATGTATTAATTTGAAATAGTGGTCTACCCAAAGAAGATTCTCATGGAAAACAGACATTTTTAATCTAAATTCTGATGTACACAACTACAACACTCATCAAAAGGATATCCTACATGTTCCCCACTCTAAAACTACACCCCTAATAGAGGGCATTACACTTTACAACAAACTGGGCAATGATAATAAAGACATAAACACTATTCACACATTTGAAAGTAAATTTAAACAATGTACTAATATTGTTAAATTATATGTAGTTGCTATCATAATAACAATAATAATAATAATAATAATAATAATAATAATAATAATAATAATAATAATAATAATAATAATAATAATAATAATTGTTATGTGTTCATTCTGCTTATTTTTTGCACCAAATGTTCTACGATTACAAATGAGTTTTACAAAAAATAATTCAGAGAGAAATTGTGGTATAAATAGTATCACATAACCATTACTACCCTAATGGTGAGAAAGTATGTACTGTTTTAGCACCGCTAGTTTTTTAAAGTAACCTATTTTGGTAAAGGTTTCTTCGAAGAAAGAATAAAAAAATATAAATGTTGGCTTTAGACGTTATTAGTTGGCATTAGGCATTATTAATTTTTCACAAACTTACTTTTAATACTTTCAAGTTGCAACAGTGAAGCAAGAAAGTTTGAAGTTCTTCCTTATGGTTGGATCCTCCTGCGATATCCAAGTATTCAAGTGTGGATAACTTTTTACGTATTCCATCAATTAGGTTTTTGTGTTGAATACACCCTGCGATGTTTAACGTCCACGAGAGATGCGTTATCTAATTTGAGAAAAATTAACAAATATAATTGTGAACCAGATATGTTTATTTTTTCTTTCTTGGATTTAGTCTAGAAGTGCAGTATTTTGTATGCCAGAAAATATTCTAATAACTATGTATTGATTGGGAAGTGTTTCTTTGCGGTACGAATGAGTTAAATACACCCAAGTTATATTTTGCGGCATTCGTAACGCAAAGTAAACACTAGGTAATAATGTAATAAACCGATATCTATTTTATCAATTTTTTTTAAGATCTTGGAGAATCATTTACGGTGTCTTGTACTTGGTCTTATCAACCCATAATTTCTGAGAATCAATATGATTTTTAACAGGTCGCTCTAAGATAACTAATTTACTCGTATTCACGCATGTTACCATTTATCATTTGAACAATTTTAATCAGGTTGATATCCTTAGCCATGTGGTTATCATTAATAGATTACAATATTTGGATTTCCCGTCTAATTATTCTTGTTTGGCGGATTCATATTTGGGGAGTCGTGAAAATGTTGTGAACTATGTAGGATAAGTATCAAAGCCATTCTCACCTGCCTCTGGTGTTTCTCAGGGCTGGAACTTGGGAAAGCTGCTTTTTGCAAATGATGTAGGAAATAAGTTAAATTGCTTCTTGTTAGTATATCCAGATGTGTGCGGTGCTTGTAAAGTTTCAAGGGCGCTTTGCCAAATATTTAGACCTCAAATCTCCCCCGGGAGGCATTGATAACTAAATTTTATTATCAAAATTTGATTTATTTAGCGTAAAAAAATAAATTTCCAGCAGATTTTATTATTCTTTAAAATTCTGCAGAGCATTAAACTAACTCCTTATTTACTTTCGCAAATTTCGTTTTCGATTCCGCGATTTAACCTACGCAATACAATTTTATATTCAGACTGTCAAAAGTATTCCACCGCTAACACCTACATTATCCTCTATGATGAAACTGACCAACGATTTTGAACTGAAAACTGAAATCAATATTTGATAGACTCGTTTAATACTCGTAACTAGTTGGGAAACGTGGGGCAAGAGTCCGCATTTTTTATAAAAAAAAAAGTGAATCTCTTCTCGTGAAATTAGAATATTCATACGGTTTTTACCCAGAGCAATGCTTAATGTATGAAGAATAAATTATCCAAACAAGAATGGCATATACATTTGATGTGTAAAAAAAATAAATAAAAAGAAAAGTACAATGTTCAGACTTGCGCCTAAACCATACGTACGATTTTTTTCCAAAATGGACCGGTCGATCTGGCTTCTCTTAAGGCGCCTCGATTTTCAAAAAGCTTTCTTCAAAATTTGAGGGTAGCCCTCAAGACATTTTCAAAATTTTCTCAAAAACGGCTCCAATTTTTTAAAAAAACTTTTGGTACGTATAGTGCTAAATGCTCTCTATGATATGACATAAATGCCATATTGTTGTATTTTGGTTTTTCAAAAATTTCAAACAATATATT